TGAAGCCCCCTTTACCTTGCCTGGTCCTGATTCAGACTCTCAGTCCCTTCAGACCCCAGGCCAGGGCTCCGGCTGCCTTAGCAGTCCAGCCACCATCCCTCTTTCCCTGTTTCCTCTTCCTTCGCTTCCCAAGATCTGCCCTCAGGAGGCTGTGAGATGGTGGCCCAAGGGAAAGGGGGCAGATTTCTGGTTTGGAAGGGAGCTAAGAGGACAAAATGCAGGACAGGTCTGAGGAAAGTTGAGGGGCTCTCACCACCCCACTCCTGCGTCCCCTTCAAGGTCCGGCTAGGGGCAGTGGAGCTGCCTTCTTCCCTTTGGGAGGCCTTAGCTCCGTGCCCTGGGAACTAGGGCCTATTAGGAGCATCAGGGACCCCCTTCTGGCCTGAGACAAACGTGAAGGTGTGGTGTTTGGTGCCACCGTGTGGTCAGTTCAAGTACCTCTGCCTTCGCTCCCCAGCTTCTCAGGGCGGTTGAGGACTCTAAGGTAGGCAAAACCATTCCCTTCCTGGCGCTCGGCTCACGTGTTGCAGAGAGCAGGAACACAGGACCCCGATACAGGGAGAAAACGGAACACTGAACTGGGAGCCAGATAGACTGGGAGGGGCTGTTTCCCCTCCCGTTTACTGACTCTGTGGCCATAGGCATTCTCCCATCTTCTCTAACGGCATTTTCCCAACTGAAACAGGAAGGTCGGCCTCTCCCTCCTCCCTCTCACGGGAAGTTGAAAAGCTTGAAGCAGTGAAGGAAAGCCCGACTCTAGAACACCTTGAAAGTCTTGACTCCCCATTAGGAGTTGCTGGCACAGAGGAGACCAAAACTTAGGCCATCTGGTCAAGGTCAAGGAACCCAGACCAGGGGCGCCTCCAGGAAACCCTTCCTGATGCCAGACTCCCAAGGACCCAGATTCATCCCTATCTGGGGGTGGGAGAAGGGAGAAGGCTAGAGGGATCCTTCCCCTCCTCCCTTTCACCCTTTCTCCAGCCACACAGCAACCTAAATGCATCCCCTTGCCTAGGGCATAACATGGATTCTTCGTGAAACCTCAAAGGAAAATAAAAGGAGAGAGAGGCATGTGGAGAGTGAAAAAGAGCCAGCAGACAGCCGGAGGCAAATGGCTGCTTGTGACCCTTGACCTGGGCGGGGGTTAGCTACATGGGGATCTGCTTTATAAGTACAGCAAGTCCTCCCATGGTTGTGAGTAGGTTCTTGGAAACTGCAACTTGAGGTGACATGACATACAGCAGGTCCTCAAATAGCATCATTTCATTCAATGTAGTTTCCTTGTAACATTGATGAGAAAAAGAATTGATTTATGCGTTATACATGGTCTCACTTAAAGTCGCAGTTTTCAAGAACCTATCAATGACGTTGAGGACTTACTGCATTCACTACGCTAGACTTTACGTTTTAGGCATCCTTCTATCAGAAGCATAATTCACAATGGGAGAGAAAGATCCAATCTTGTCTCTTCTCACACTTCTTAAAACTCTCCCACTGTTTCAATTGCTTCCCTTTGTAGAGGGTCCAAAGGTGAACACATAGATTGCAAGGATATTTAAGAGGCAGAACTAATAGATTTGACCTGTGGTTGGCGGAGGGAGGTGGGGGTCATGAATGGAAGGGGATGTGGAAGCTGATGGGGGGGGCTAGTTTCTCTGCCAAGAAGAATGAGGGTCCACTCCTGGGCTGTGCCTGGGCTCAGGTCACAGCCTCCAGACGGATTTTCCCAGCAGCCTCTTGATCCCTGTCTTAGTCCATTTTCTGTACACAGAAAAGGTGTGTATTGCAGAAGCCTGGGAAGTCCAAGAGTATGGAGCTGGCATCCGGTCAGCATCTTGTGAGGGCCTTCTTGCTACTTCATAACATGGCAGAAGGTATCACATGATGAGAGGGCAACAGACTGTGTGTCCACTCAGGTCTCTCTTCCTCTTCTTTTAAAGTCCCCGATCCCATCATGGGGGGCTCACTTTGGTGACTTTCTCTAATCCTAATTACCTTCCAAAGATTCCACCTCCAACTGCCATCAACATATGAATTTAGTTGTTTCCAACACATGAAATTTGGGAGACACCTTCAAACCATAGCAGTCTCCAATCCGATTGCCTCATGAACTCCATTAAGATACAGTTCTAATAACCCACTTCCCTCTTAAAATTCAGCAAAGATTTTCCACAGCCTTCAGGATAAATTCTAAACTCCCTCCCTGGCTCACAGTCTCTGGCTGTCACCATCCCAGGCCCTACACTTGGGCCCTGACCTCAGCCCTACCCTGTCTGTTTTTTGCAGCCTTTCTCCAGCCCCAGGTCTTGGCAGAGCTCCAGACTCCCAACCCCAGCCCCCTCGCTCCTTAGCTAAAGCACCACCAGCTCAAGGAAGCCTGCCCTGCCCTCCAGTCCCCTTCGGTTTCTCCATGCCCTTACACCATCCCACTGCCCCTTCACACCTCACAGTCATGGTGTAGCTGCAGCTGATTACAATGATATGTTTAATGTCTGCTTCTTCCAGCAGACTGACAGTTCCAGAAGGTCCAAGAAACTGGTGGAAGCTTTGCTGTTGGACAAAGATCCCCCCTCCCCCGTAGAGCTGGAGCTTCTCCTCTAGCCCCCTCCTCCCCAACAGAGGCAAGGGTGGAGCTCCATCACCAACCCCACCCCAGAAAAGCCTCCATTTGGAACAACTAACTGGTTTCTCCTCCTTATCAAGAACAGGAGCCCCTGCACCTACCTCTCAACTAGGAGCTTTTGCCCCCCAGAGTAGTACCCCCTTCCCTCCTTCCAACCACCACTCCATGCTAGGCAAAAGGGAAAGGCTTCTCATTCAGAAGAAAATGCTTCTTCTCCTTTTCCTGTTGCCATGGAGGCTTTTCTCCATCAACCTAACCTGACCTGCCAGTCTCCATTCTGAGTGAGGGGAGAGGCGGAAAGCATGCATTCATTCATCCTGGCATTCAGGAATTAGGAATTCAGGTTATGGAGTCAGACACCCAAGACTGAAGTTCCAACTCTGACATTCTGTACAATGTTGGATGAAACACTTCCTGTCTGAATCTCAGTTTTGTCATTTTCAATGAAAATAAAGATAGTACCTACTTTCTAGCCTGAAGATGAAGGAAGAATAAAGAAAGCGAATGCACTTAGAGTGTGTGACACACAGTAAGGGCTCGAAAACTTTAAGTTGCTATCATGAATACCTGTGATGTGCCAGGCCCTGGAGAGACCACTGTGACAAGACTCCCACTGGAGAGATTTTGTTTCTGTTTCATCTTCATCGAGCCTTTCCCACACCTTCAACTTGGTTTTCACAGAAACAACAATTCTTTCTTTTCCTCCTCCTATTTCACTAGTAAATGACATGAATTAAGAGCCTTGATTACAATTGCTAATACAACTGTTGTAAACATGTTTGGAAACAAGCATTTCTGACTCTCAAAAAACAATTTCACTGGAGCAAACAAAGTAATCGGGTCAACTGGAGCACTGTTTTTCTTTTCTTTCTTTTTTTTAAAGTTTTCGCAAAAACACCTTTTTTACTATTTTATTAATTAGTTTATTTTTAATCATTTTATTTTAGATCCAAGAATACATCTATAGATTTGTTTCATAGGTATATTGCATGATAGTGAGGTTTGTGCTGCTATTTATATATATATACACACATATATATTTTATTTTAAAGATGTGGGATACAAATCAGGATTAGGTACATAAGTGGTCTACATACAGGTGAAGTTTGGGCCTCCCACTGGTCCTCATAGAGAACTGTTTTTCAACCCACACCCCGTAAGTGAAACTTGTAAAGTAAATGTAGTTGGTTGTAACCATCAGGGTGTTTTGTTTTTTAATGAAACAAAAAAAAAATCTCAGAACACATCACATATAGTCAAGTATAGTTTCCTGAAACTTTTGTTTCTGTTCACATGTGTGTGCTGGGTTTCTTACAGTGAATACCAGTTCCCTTGAACGTGATGTTCCCCCAAGCCAAGAAGACCACATAAACATACACATAAACACACCCATTTTTTGTGTGGTTAACTCATTCTGTAGGTCTCAGCTTTCAATAACATAATTTTGGCATGGTTCTTTGATCAATTGATTATTGGTAATTTGATTCATGAATGTCTGTCTCTCTCCCCACACACTGGATATGAGCTCCATGAAAGTAAGGAATACATTGGTTTTGTTAACCTTTGTGGTTCATTTTTAGCACAGTATTTAATCAGTCACATCCAGTTGACACAATTTAGAAAGATATGAGAGAGGAAATGTGGGGGAGGAAAAGAAGGAAGGTCCAGGAGACCCCGAGGGACTTCTGCTAGGGTGTGTGGGTTTAAGGTGCCTGTATCACCAGGAGGAGATGAGACCAGAAGGTAGCCGGCGCTATGTGTCAGGTGAGAGGTCCAGGCTGGATGTGGAGGGTGAAGGGCTGAGAAGGGGCTGTGTGGTGTGGTGGTTAGGCACATGGACCCTGGTCCTAGAAGGAAGGGGACAGTGCCTTGTCGCAAGAAGAGAGGGTCACGAGGGAAATTAAAAAATAAAAATAAAAAAAACCACCATGGGAACCTAGCGGCAGCCCCTGGCTGTTTCTGACAAAACCACTGAGCAAAAAAAGAAAAACCAGGTCTCCTGGCAGGATGGCACGAGTCCCTGGTAGATAGGGCTGCTGCGGGCAGAGGAGTCCTCTCTGTGCCCTGGGACCCCGCCTCCGCCCTCGAGCACCTCCCGGTGCGGGCTGGGGCGTGTGGAGGGCGCAGTGTGAGATGCGCAGGCCTGGGCGGATAAGGGGCGGTGGCGTGGGCTGGAGGGAGACACAAAGCCTGCAACCGCGCGGCCTGGAGCAAGGCGGGGGTCCCAGCGATGAATGGGTTCGGCCGGGCCAATCCGAGGGCAGGATTGAAGGCCGCGAGAGAAGGCGGCCAATAGGATCCCGGGTGCGGCGGCGGGGGGCGGAGGTGGAGCCAATCAGCTGTAAGGACTCGCTGGGGGCGGGGCCGCGCGGACTTTCAAATCGTCTGGGGGCAACCAGGAGCAGCTGTGCTTTGGTGTCGGGATCGGCGCTGGTGGTATCGGGTGAGGGCCGGCGGGGACGTAGTGGGGTTCGGTTCAGGGAGGGAGGGAACTTCGCAGGGGAGCGGGGAAGAGGGGTGGCAATCTGGGTATTGCACCCGGGGCGTCTGGGTATTGCGAGGGTCCGTTCCAAATCCGGGCACCAGGTGGGAAGGCTAGGGTTTGGGCGGACGCGCGTATGAGCTGGGCGAGCTTGTGAAGAAGCCGCTAATCATATCCTGGGCCCAGTGCTGAGGCTCGACGAGGGTCCTGACCCTGCCTTCCTCCCCACGGCAGGCAGAGGGCGGAAAGGAGGCTAGAATGAAAAGACAGCTATTTTTGAAACTTGAAGCTTGGAACAGCAGAAATGTTGCTGGCCTCGACCCCTCTTCCAGAAAGCATCCTCCTTCCCGCACGCGCAGTTGCCGAGTGCCCCCGCCCTTCCCCGGCTCCATTCCATCTCTTCCCCTGTGCCCGAGATCCCTGTGCAGCCTGGGAATGGAGGTGGGAATGCATTGCTGACCTGCCTTCTGACCTCCTCCCCAGGGTCTAGTGGACAGAGAAGATTCTTGGCCAAACAGATGGCTTCTCGGTGGCAGGGCATGGGGGCCTCCATGCACCTGAGATCTCTCCAGGACCAGGAGCAGCTGGAGGACAGCAAGGCACTGCAGCCTGTGGTTAGCCATCAAGAAACTTCCACTGGGGCCCTGGGCTCCTTATGCAGACAGTTCCAAAGGAGGCTACCTCTGAGGGCCGTCAACCTCAACCTCAGAGCAGGCCCCTCCTGGAAGCGCCTGGAAACCCCAGAGCCAGGGCAGCAGGGCCTCCACGCTGCAGCTCGCTCAGCTAAAAGCGCCTTAGGTGCCATGTCCCAGGTAATAATGACAATATTAACCATTTATATTTGGAGGGCTTCCTTAGTACCGGACAATCCCTATGTATGTGGACTCCATGAAGATGGAGGGCTTCGGTTGGTTCATTGCTGTTTCCCCAGCACCTCAAGTAGTTCCTGGCACATAGTAGGTGCCCAGCAAATAGTTGGATGAGTGAATGAAGGCATGTCATGGAGGAAACAGATATTCATGGTACGAGGTGAAGAGCTGCATTGTGGTAGGAAACTGCATGCTAACGGTGCCAGCGGCACACCAAATGCAAGTTTAGTCGGCAAAGGCTTCCCAGAGGAAGTGACTCCACAGAGTTCACCCAGGAAAGGGGAAGTACAAGGGGTGTATAAAACAAGTGAAATAGTGTAAGTCCAGGTCTAGAGCTAAGGGAAAGCAAGATGCTGAAGAGAGCTGGCAGGAATGCAGCCTGGGCATGGCCAGAGGTCAGAGAGCAAGATGGAGCAGGGAGAAGGGTGTGAAGGTGTTCAGACTCTCCCGGGATAGATTGGAACTTGGGAGGGAAGGATTCTAAACACTGTGGGAAGTCTGGTCAAATTAGCATATTAGAACTTGTTAAGTTCCTGGATGGAAGAGGTATTGGAAACAGATGTGCTCCCAAGGGATCCTAGCCCCTGGGCTTGCAGGGGAGTCAACTTCAAGAGCTGCAGAGATGGTTGGTTTGAGGAGATTTGGTGTCAGAGGAGATGTCTGGCAGGAAGGGAGAGTGTTCTTGATGTCTCATTGGGAGTTCTGAAAATGTAGGAAGAAGGTAGGAGTTTCTGGATCCTTTGCAGAAAGGTCTCTAAACCAAATGTTAAGCCTTTCCTTTTTTTTGAGACAGTGTCTCGCTCTGTCACCCAGGCTGGAGTGTGGGAACATGATCACAGCTCACTACAGCCTCAGCTACCTGGACTCAAGCAATCCTCCCTCCTCAGCCTCCCAAAGTAGTGGGGACTACAGGCATTCACCACTATGCCTGGCTATTTTTTTGGTTTTCTATTTTTTGTAGAGATGAAGTGTTGCTATGCTGCTCAGCCTGGTCTCAAACTACTGGCCTCAAGCAATCTTCTCACCTCAGCCTTCCAAGGTGCCAGGTTTAAAGGCGTGAGACACCACACCTAACTCACCTAGCTCAGTTAGGCCTTGTCTGGAAGAGCCTTTTGATTGTTTTCACCACTCTCAGGGAACAAAGAAATGAAGTGAATCTTGCCTAAGATTACAGTACTCATCAAATGTAACAAGGTTTGTTCCAGCCCCTGGACTCTGGTTTATCAAGGCAAAGAGAGTCCAGCCAATGAAAACAAACCTTCACAGCCATCACCCAGATGATGTGAAAGGACCAAGAGTTAGGGCTCGGTCCTATGAGCAGCAAGGAGCCATAGACGGGTTTTGAGCAGTTGATTGTCATGATCAGGACTGCCCTTTAGAAGGATCTCTGTGGACCAGTGTAGAGGATGGATAGAGTGAGAAAAGACCAGAAGCAGGAAGACAGAGGCTCTCCTGTTGTCCAAGGGGGTGGCCTACTCTTCTCTGGGCCTTCTTGAGTCTCTGGGTCAATCTGTATCTGGAAAGAGGGTTTAGACTTAGACAAACAGAGACTCTATGACCTGCTGCTGGCTGCTGCAGTAATATCTGGGGCTTCTGAGCTGGGACCCTGCAGTAGATTCATCCCACATGGAGTCGTTCACATGCCTCACCCTTGAGACTATACATAGCCTATATATGTGGCACAGGTGCTGGGCCTAGGGTTTTGAGGTATGGCCTGGGGATGAGTAGCTCACCCTTCATTTTGTATGTGCTAACCTTTCCATGTGCCCACCACAGAGAATCCAGGAGTCCTGCCAAAGTGGCACCAAGTGGCTGGTGGAAACCCAGGTGAAAGCCAGGAGGAAGAGAGGGGCACAGAGGGGCAGCAGCTCGCCAACTCACCATGTGAGCCAGAAGAGCACCCGGCTGTCTGGAGCCGCCCCTGCCCACTCAGCCACAGACCCCTGGGAGAGGGAGCATCACCGCCCCTCTGCCCAGATGGGCCCACATGTCCACTCGCTACGGCGCTCGAGGAGGGAGGCTGCCGTCCGGAGCCCCTGTTCCTCCACAGAACCCCTCTGCTCTCCCAGGCAAGTGGGAGACTGCCTCTCCCCAGGGGTGGTGGGCTTTTAAGCCCAGGCACCATTCCCTTTCCCTGACCCCCCAGACACTAGCTGGTCCCCAGAGGGCTCTGAGCACCTTCTGTGGCTACCTGGAGCCAGGAGCACTCTGAGCTGCGTCACATCCATGTTCTGGCCAGCTCTACCTCCAGAGCTAGTAGACTTGAGAAAGTCCTTCAGGCTTTAGTGTCCCCATCTGTAAAAGGAAGAGGTGTGCTTAGCTCTGACTGGATCACACTCATCTGAGGTTCCTGCTGAGCCCAAAAGCAAGTTTTGAAGCCTCTCAATAGCTGAGGCTCAGTTTCTAAGTGGGGAACTGCAGGGCTCACCTGTCTGCAAAATAACTTCCCATGACCTTGGCTTTGTAGACCTTGAATGCTCTGTTCTCTGCCAGGTGCTCCAAGTCACTCTGATGTTACTTCCTGGAGCGAGGGTCTGGGTTGAGGCATTCTCAGTCCACCAGGGTCATCTGGGCCTGTAAGACCAAGCCCCAGTGCTATGTCAGAAGGGGCTTCTGCTGCACGTTTCCAGCTAATCACACCAAATGTATGGCTTTTCCTTTTGTCCAGCGAGTCTGACAGTGACCTTGAGCCTGTGGGAGTAGGGATTCAGCATCTCCAGAAGTTGTCCCAAGAGCTGGATGAAGCCATTATGGCTGAAGAGAGGTGAGCTGACATCCCAGGTTTCAAAGTGAAATGGCCTGGAGGGTCCCCTGAGCCATCTTTGTAGACAGGCAGCCGATTCTGGCCCTGACCCACTCTGTGACTCTGTCCAGTCCCTTCCCCTCTGTGGGCCTCAATCTCCCTCATCTCAAGCACAAGAAGGGATGAAAGACCTGGATTAGGGTGACAGTAAAGAATGCACCCTGATGTGAGTGGTCCTCTGGATCTTGGGCTCGTTTATTTGCCCAGCACCTGGAACCTCAGATGTGACCAGGTAGCTGGTTCCTGAAAAACCTACCCTTTCTCTAATTCTCTCCATGGCTCCTCTATGCCCTGCCTTCACACAGAATTGGGAAAAGCAACATAGTTGTTAAGAAGTTCCTGGTCTGTCTGCTCAGTACCCTATCCTGGGGGCAGGGCCTCAGTTCTGGATCTGCCCTGACTTGGGGTCGTTTCCCCAATTGTATAATGGCCACGATGGGCTCTTAGGCAGGGCCCGACCAGCTCTGACACATGTGGAGAGGCCATGTTCCCACCACATTTCCAGATCTGGTCTTGCCTAGCCCAGAATGGGAGGACCCCCTCAGAGTCCACAGCACCCAGTGGCATTAATCCCTCCCCCTTCTCTCTAGTGGTGACATGACCGTCTCTCTCATTCATGACTGAGGACAGTTCCTGCAGGTAATGCCCTCCTCCCAAGCATCTTTCTCAGTGTCCTTCTCCTCACGCATAAGCATATATGTGTACTTGTTAAAGAAATGAGTCTTTTCTGAAAAAACCCACGGAGCTGATGAGCACCACACAGTAGGAAGTGTCCAAGTCTTCCTGCTCAGATCCAGAGCCACTAACCACATTGACCTCATCACTAACTGAGCATGCCGGACCCCACATAGCTAGAGTCACCTTTCAGCCCCCCATTTAGTGGGGAAAGTGATCATGTCCCCACTTCCCCTGCCTTGAGTACAATGAGGGGCACAAAGGGAGCTCTGTCTTGCAGGAAACAAGCCCCATCTGTCCACCAAGCTTCATACCCAGGATGCCTGTGCTTCCCATGAGCTTCCTGGAGAGAGTCCCCAGGAGTCATCAACACCCTTAAGCCACTGCTAACAAGGACCTGACTAACAAGGGGCCCAGAGCTGCTCCAGCCACATCTGGACCCATCAGTGACCACCTGCCACAGCCTAAGAGTGACTTGGGGAGACCTTGGACAGGTGGGGGAAGCTGTTCTTTGAGCTCCCCCAGGTGACCCTTGGGCTTAGAAACTCATCCCACACTTGAACCTTGTAGTTGCTCACCTACATGGTGACATGCTGGCACCAGAGACATTTGAGAGCTCTGAGCTGTGTACCCAGAAGCAGAGGCTTTGGGGAGTCATCCAAGGACTCACTCATCTCCTGTGTTTCCGGCTCCAAGTCTCTTGGGGACCCAGCTCCCATCCGTGCTTCCAGCACCAAGGCCCCAAAAGAAGGCATAGGAGATATTTCCAGGCTGAGGACCCTGGCTCTCGGTTACCTATTTACATGCTCAGCACAGGGCACTGGGCGTGCCAGGATGGGTAGCACTATTCAAGAGCCCTTTGTAAATTATTTAAGAAATCTGCTTTGTCATTTTATTAGAAAGAAACCAGTGTGTGGCTTTCCTTAATAGCATTGCTTTTTCATAATAAAGACTGCACTTGGCATCTGTTCTCTTCCACCATCCCCCACCCCACCCCCACCCTGTACCACTCTGGGCAATAGGTTTGTGGTTTGGGACCTGGCTTTGTTCCCTCAACCACCTCTGCCCGGAACCAGCCTGCCCCTCACCCCAGCTCACACAGAACATGAGTAAAGTATTCTCAATTGAATTCAGAACAAAGCATATTTTAAAGGCAAATAAGGTTTTTATTTAAGTGACAACATTTGAGAGTTAAAAACCAGCTCACATCAAAATCAAAACCAGTTGTAAAAATCTTTTAACTCCATAGTGCTGTTTTTGTCTTGTTAGAAATCTGATATCTTACATTTTCTTTTCTAACGGATTTTGTACAAGGCAGCCATAAGGAATATAATAAACTTTTTTTCACCACAGAACCATCCATCACAGATAATACTGAAAGTTACACACTTAGGGACAGTCAGACCGTGGACAAGGTCAGACTGGCTGCCACCACCAAGTAAACAAATAGAAAAGGACAGTGGGGTCCAAGGGTGGAGGTCCCTGTGCAAGAGCTGCCCTCCTCTGGCCTGCCGCTCCTGTGGTCCCGAGAAGGTGGAATCAAACTGATTTTCCTCCCAACTGCCCTGTTGTTTTCTCAGTGAGAAGAGCAGAACCCAGGCCAGGCCTCAGTGCTTGGGCTTAACCCTAAATGATTTTCAAGAAAGTTCCCCCAAGCCTAAAGGAAAGGAAAGAGGGAATGTTTCTTTTGGCTTAGCCAAAGAGAATAGGTTTGTTTCCAGGGCACTTGGCACACAAACCCCCAGGGCTCAGTGGGAAAGTTGGTTGTTTAAGGCGGGGTCAGCTGTGAGGCTCCTCCCTGGGCAGGGCACCCCTCCCAGGCAGGGCTGCACCTGGGCTGGGCTGGTTGGGAGAGTGTCCATTGGAGATGGGCACCACCTTCAGACCTGCCCCCAGGCCCAGCTTTCATTAAAGGTTGGTGCCGTGTTCTATCTGCAGGACAGGTATGGGCTCCAACATAGTAAAAATAGAGTGAAAAATCATGAGATCCAGCTCCCCCTCTTTTGGAGAGCCCACTGATCATCTCTGGAATCCTGGGGTTCAAACACGTTTGTTTGCTGTAGCCCAGCACCAGGCAGGAGGGCCCTTCACCCCAGTGCATGAAAGGAGCCTACTGTTTAAAAAATATTTTGTAGGGCCTAAGGGAAGAGTTGAGATATTTAGGAAAAACCCATGTTTCTGGAAGAGCAGGCCCAGGCTAAGAACACACCCTGAACCCCCAGTAGGGCAAGCGGTGGAAGAAGGTGGTAGGCAAGCCCTCGGCCAGACAGCCGCCAGATTGGGAAGAACAAACATGCCACGCAAGAAACAAGGAGCTTTGGTCAGGCGGGAAGATCTGTGTTCCAGCTGCTGGAGAGCAGGCATACCAGGAGCTAGAGGGAGTCTCTAGAAACAGCTGGATTGGGGGTCACAGAACTACTCCAGGAGAGGCAGCGGCATCCCCTCCAGAGAACAACACGACTTGGCGCTTTTTGTTTTCTCCAACTTAACTGGACAGACACAACTGAACAAACCACTAGTATAGAAAGTGCATATGGGCTACACAGTTGCCATGAAAGCAGTATTGAAACGTAAGTTGTCTCACCACTAAACGAACTACACGTACACACATTCTCACACACACCGACTACAGCTCCAGGGGCATTGTGTTCACAAGATCTCACTGTACACCATCAGCGTCTCACATGTGCGCCATCAAAGCCTCAATCTGGGGCTCCAGAAAGGAAGGGGTGGTGGCCCTCCTGCTGGGTCCTGTGTCCCGGCTCTGAGCCCCAGAGCCACAGAACCCTTGGTCACTTTGATTCCAGATTTCCTGGGAATCCTGGCTCGCACTCTCTTCCTTTTCTTTCTGTCTCTGTTTCTGTCTCTCTTTCTCTCTCTTGCTCCTAGCCTGGAGTTCTCAGAAAGGGAGGAAGGACTCTAACTGGGGCAAAGTATCTCACACTAATTACTTTCTCATTTGAGAGTAATACATCAGTGACTTCTGCACAAAAGGAGTCGGTGGAGTTTCTGAGAGTCAGATAAAGTCTGCCCAAGTTTAATTCAGGGTATTTTGGGGAAGGATTGGGGTTGAGGTGGCTATGCCACATCAGCTGGTGCCTATGCAGAGCCAAGAACAGTGACATTTTAAAGGGGGATGGGCTTGTGTGAATCTCCAGGAGGCAGGACCAGAGAGGGAGCTGAGGCTGATCTGCACCCCTCCCCAGCAGACTCACCAGCAGTGCCGGAGATGAGGATGCAGTGCTGAAAGTGGATCAGAGGAGCTGGCATACTGCAGAAAAGACATTTCTAGTGGAGAGAGCAGGGATGGGGGCTGGAAGCCCAGACCTCTCCAGCCCCTGGAGGGCACCCAGTTTGCCAGGTGATTCACAACGGTGGTGCCAGCCGCCCCCACCAGCAGCGCCATCAGCTGCATGGGAGCTGCAAGAGGTAGACATTGAGCAGAAGCGACACTGAGCTGACACAGGTGCCTGCTGTGTATACAGCTGTCTGGGCCCTGGGGCAGCCTGGCTGAAAGAGCTGGGCCCTGCCTCAGCGACAGTCCACAGGGGCTCAGAGGCAACCTGGGCAACCCCACACAACAGTGTGGGCCTGGGCTGGGAGCAGGGGGAAGGTACAGGAGACCAATGCCCAGGTCAGGGCTCAGCAGCAGGAGGGCCTGGGCAGGCTTTGAGGGGCCCAGGAGAGCCAAGCCCTGCCAACCTCAGGGGACTGCCCAGGAGGTTACGGGCACACACCAAGTGGCCGGGGGAAGGGAAAAGAAACAACAGTTGGAGCCAAAATTCCATGAACCCCCAGAGCCTGGAATCTCAGCTCTATGCCTTCCAGGAGCCACAATGGAGAAACCAGTCTGAACAGAACTGGAGGAGGGAAGCGCCAGATCCCTACTCTTTGAGAGGGTGGGGGAGTCCTGTCCCTGGGACACCCCATTTGGGCATCAGTGCGAGACAAACCTGCCGCAACTCCCCAGGGAGTAGGATCCCTTTCCAGCCCCTCAGAGGGACTTCCTTTGAGGCAGTGGGACAACTGCTCCCTCCCAGCCCACCCAGAACTCCTATCCCAGGCTGTATGGAAGGTGTGAGTCACCGGACATTCTGAGGGAAACTTAGGCCTGAAAAGGCTCAGGGGGCAGAAGTGCCCCACAGCCTGGGAGTCAGAAACTCGCGCCAGTCTCAGCTGGGGGAGCCCTCCAATGACAGAAGGAAAGCAGGGCCCAGAGAGGATGCGCAAGGGCTCAAGGGCTCCCAGCCAGCCCAGCTGGCCAGAACCTGGGCTGCAGCCTCACAGGGAGGGCACAAGGCAGGGCTCCAGGAAGAGGAACGCCTGGCTCAAGGGCCACAGGAGAATGGTGAGGATACTGAAGACAAGAAGGGGGGGGGAAATGGACAGCTGCAGGACAGACCGTCAGCACCAGACCCCGACCCGAGGGCTGTGGAGAGAGACCGCATACGTGAGGATGGGCCCAGGGGACGTCCTCTCACTCCCAGAAAGTGGCCAGTTTGCCATAAGAGAGCCAACCCCAAAATGGTGACCCAGAACGCCTCAGAGAGGGCAGGCACAAATGCCACTCGCGCCTCCACAAGACAGCCAAGCAGCTGCACCTGCCAGCGGTGGGTGGTCCCCGGGCCTTCCTGGCATTGCTGTGCAGCCTGGGGACTCAGAGGGTGGCCTCCTTTGCCCAAACACTCCGGCTCCGGGCAGGATGACACAAACATTTAACCCTGACTTGGGTTCACCGTCACAGGCACGGGGAGGCGGCAGCAGCTGCACCGAGACCCCCCGGCTCTCACCCCGTCGCAGCTCAGGGAACCCCCCAAGGCCAGGCAGGGCCCCTCCCCGCTCTGGTCGGACACTGCTGGACAGACACGGGAGGGAAATAGCAGGAAAACGCCTGTGTCGGGGAGAGGGCCGTCCCTCCCATCCCCGCAGGCCGCCCAGGTGAGCCCCTCTGCTCTGAGCACAGCCCAGCCCTCAGGGCACTGACTCGAACTTGGGGGGCCCGCGCGCCCAGCTGAGCGCGGGCAGCGGCCGCTCGTGGTCCTTGTCGGACTCGGGCTGGCTCTGGGCCCGCTCGGGCTTGGGGTTGGCGGCGGGCGGGTCGGGCTGCTGCACCGACATGGTCCTGCGCAGGTGGTTGCGCTTCCTCAGGAACTCCGGCTGCGCGTGCAGCCCGAAGCTGCCCTTGCGCAGGATCATGCGCGAGTTGTTCTTCTTGGGGCGCGAGCGGTGGCCGGCCTCCAGCGCCGCCAGGTGTGCGGCATAGCCCTCGCTCAGGAACTGCGGAGGGCACGGGCGTCAGGCCAGCGGGCGGGGCGGGTCCCTCCTGATCCTGCCCCACAGCATCGCCATTCCCCCGAGCACCCTACGGGGGCGCTCCAGCTTCTCTGAGGAACCGCGGAAAAGCGAGAGCTCACGACGGTTCCTGGCCCCCGACCCAGATCCTTCTTGTCGCCACCCTCGCCCCCCTCCACCCCCAGCTTTGGGCAACGGCCCCTCTTTCTCTGTCCCCGTAGGTCACACCAGAGTTCCCCAGGGTCCTTGATGGGAGTGAAGCATCCATCCTTGTCACTGTCACTAGGATCCCACCATCACCCGGCCTCTACCATGTAACTTCGTCACCGTTCTGACCCCTGCGACTGCTCTTCTTGCCCACCCTTCCTGCTCTGTCCTCAGAACTAGCTTCTCAAGGTGCGGTTCATGGACCAGCCGCATCCGCACCACCTGGCCTCGTGTTGGGCAGATCTCAGGGCTCTTCCCAGGCCTGTGAAAGCGGAATCTGCTTCAACAAGATTCCCAGGTGATGCTTAAGAGTTTGAGAAGTGAGAAGAGGCTCTGGAGTCCCCCACTCTGGGGTGGCCCCATCTTCTGACCCGCCACCTGCTGGTCACTCTTAGGCACCCCTCACTTGACACGCCCTGGTCACACAAGCCAGAAGCCAAGGCACTGTCCTTGGTTTTTCCTTCCTTTCATCCCACACCTCTGATCTGTGCATTACAAAATCCAATCCACCCCACCTCAGAAATTATTCTCAGACCTTTTCTCCACTTTCTCTCCAACTCCCTCTGCTTCCCTCCTGTTCCTCTGGCCCACCTTCTGCCTGCAACCCGAGGGACCTTTCTGAATCACACACTCTGACAACTCAGAGGACAGAGTCCCAGCTGAGCAAGGCACACAGGCCATCTTGTCTGCACTGGCTGCCCCAGCCCCTGTCTCCCCTCCCTGCCCACATCACACACAACCAAGTTGAGTCACTGGCAGTTCCCAGAATATACATCTTCCCTGTTACCTCCCGACCTTGGCTTTGGCTGCTGCCTCTGCCACAAATGCTCCTTCCAGTCTTGGGCCCTTCTTGGATCATCCCTTCAAGCTCCCCAAAGTTAACCCTGCCCCGGAGTCTGGGTAAGCTGCTCCTCTCTAGAGCCCCTTGTTTTTCTGTGTTCCCCATCCTCTATCGTGGTATTTGCCACACCACACTGTCACTGACTGCAAATGTTTCAATGTCCCCCCACTAGACTGGATGACATTACATCTGACTCCAATGGGGGTTCTCCCATGTACCTAATACGGGGCCTGGCCCAAGGCAGGCACCCAGTTGTGTTTGTTGAATGAATGAATGAACAAATGAAGGAATGAACAAATGAACTATTGAATGAACAAACAAATGAACTACCTACTCCCCCCACTTCTTTCTCTGGTCCCGCATTCCCCGCCCCCAGCCCAGCCTCCACCCACCTGGCATTGGGTTTGGTACTTCTTGGTGGGCCGGCCCACAATGAAGATCTGGGAGGCTGGGAGTCCCAGCACACTGTAGACAGAGATGTCCTTGGTGGAGCCATACGCAGCACTGATTTTGATGAAGCACTGAAACACAGGGCATCTCATGGAGGGAGAGGGAGGCCCCATTTACCTCCCCAGGAAGGCGTTCTCAGCCAAACTCAGGAAGCCCATGCTTGGAGACCCTTTATCTGTCGGACACCAAGCCATGGGTTTACCTTGTGTCAGAAACAAACTCCCGGGTGGTTGCCCCTCCCCTCCCCACGCCCCAAGCCTGAACCAGGGCTCTGCCTGGTTAATAGTCACAGCCATACCGTGTACTGACCCCTTTCCAAGCAGTACTCTGTGTAGGCTACACAACAATGAGGCAAAGTGTTCTTTTGTGGATAAGGAAATTGAGTTGCCAGTTTAGGCATCTCAGGGCCAGGACTGGAGGCCAGTTCAGTCTGGCCCCTGACCCCATGCTGTCCCCACCTCACCTGACTGTGGTTCAGCATTCACCCATCGCCTCTTGCTGGCTGGTCCCCAGAAGCCTCAATGCAGTTCAGAGAACTGCCCAAGATCCTCCTTGCTCCAGATCATCCCTTGCCCACCCATCCCACCCATCAGATGAAACTATGTCCTCCTGTGAGGCACTCACCTCCCAGCCGCCCCTTACTGTGTTCCACCCCCTCGGGGGCATCTTCTTTTTTCCCACTCACCCTCCTCCCAAGTCACCAGAGACCTCAGTCCTGGGTCATGGCTTTCGTTCTTCCTGAGCCCCATCGTTGCTGGGATGACTTCCTGTCCACGTGGGAGACCTCCCACCTCCCACCTCAGCTCACGGCTTCTCGCCTCTTTCATGTCAGTGGTGTCACTTCGGACTGGACCCAGAACCTCCTCCTCCTGCATTCTCACTCTGACTGGGGCTTCTGCCTCCCACATCTCGGCTGGTTCCTTGTCCTGCTCTCAGGAGCGCAGTGCAGCCTCTTCTCACTCCTCCCCTTTGTCCAAGAGATGCCACCTCTCCTGTGGCTTCACTGAGCTGCCTCATGTGTTAGGCTCCCAGCCCCACTTCCATCCCAGACCACTCCCCTGAGCCACATCACGCCCCATGGCTGTATCAGCCTTGATATATCACGCCCCATGGCTCCACAGCTCAATTCATCATCCTTCAGCCTGATCCTCCTCCTGAGTCCCCTCTCATTTTATCTACTTATTCATTTACTAACATTTATTAAGTGCCTACTGTGTGGCATCATTACTCCAAATGTAGGAGCTATATTACTGGTGAACAGAGCAGGCACAGACGCTGCCTCCATGGAGACCATGGCAGGTGAGTAGTACCTCGATCCTCCCTGGTCACCCAACATGGGAATCTGGAAGCTCCTCTCTCCATTCTTCATTGAGTCCTGACAATTCCACCTCCTGATTCTCGTACCTGTCTGTGCCTTTCTCTCCTTCCCATGGTCAGCACCTGGATTCTGGTCCTCCTGTCTTTTGCTTGGGTCACGGACCCTAACTGGCCTCCCTGCCTCTCATTTCTCCTGCCAATCTGTTCTTTATGCAGCCGCCAAAGGGATCTTTCTATAAGCCAAATTAGATGCTGCCATTCCCCTGCTTTAGACTCTTCCATGGCTCCTCCATGGCCCTCAGCAGAGAGTTCATGGTCTTGGCCTGGTTTCCAAGGTTTTCAAGGCCTACCAAGCTTGGGCCCCTGATGACCTCTGTGGCCTCAAACTCCCACTTGTCCTGGGTCTGACCTTTCCTGAACATATCTCCATACTGGATGCCTGCAGTTCTGAGAACAACCCACAGTCTTTCCTGCTCCTATGCCTTTACACATGCTGTTTCATTGTCTACCTGACAGATTCATACTGATGCTTCAAAATTCAGCCCAGAGCCTTTCCTGGCTGTCAGCCACACTTAAGTCCTTTCTCCTGTTTGCCAATAGGGCCTTTTTAAACCATACATCAGTAATTGTCAATTTACATGTCTTTCTTCCTCTAGATCAGGGATTGGCAGACTTTTTCTGTGAAAGGCTAAATAGTAAATATTTTAGGCTTTGCACTCTGTCACAACGACTTGATTCTGCTGTTGTAGTGCAAAAACAACCATAGACAACACATCAACAGATGAGCTTGGCTGTGTTCCCATTAAACTTGCAATTTATAGTCACTGAAATTTGAATTTCGGATCATTCTCACACGAAAATGATATGAAATATTATTCTTCTTTTGATTTTTCCCCTCACCATTTGAAAGTGTAAAAATCATTCTTAGCTCCCAGGGCATATAAAAACAGGCTGTGGACTGGATTTGGCCATCATCGCTCTAGACCAGTGATTCTCAACATTGCATCAGAATCCCCCAAGGGCTCCTAAAAAGTTTGCTGAGCCCCTCCCCAGAGTTTCTGATTGAGCAGGTCTAAGGTGGAGCCAGAGGATTTGCATGCCTAAAGAGTTCCCAGGTGCTGCTCCTCATACTGCCCCCCGACCCACACAGTAAGAGTGTGGTCCACATGTGTCCTATCTGTCTCTGGGAAGCCCCACTGAGCACAGAGTGAGGAAGACAGTGGGCACTCAAATGTCTGTTGAATGAATAACCCAATGTAGGGACTATAGTCAGGAGATAAAGGATGAAAGTCTGACTCAGATCTTCAGCAAGCCTCCCCCTTTGTCATCTGTCAATGAACTTATTAATACCTACCTCTCAGGGTTGTTAAAGGCCCCAGTGAGAGCCTTGGGAATGTGCTTTACAAGGCCCCACCCAGCTTGAGGGAGATGGAGAGGAGAGCTAGGATGGTTGTAGTCTCATCGCCCCACCCCCATAAGGGCCTGCCTCGGAGCCCCGGTCCCGCCAGAGTGTGGTGGAAGCCCTACCCCCAGCCGGGCACTCACCTCCTGCATGAGGCTGCGGAGGAAGATGGCCTTCTGCCGCAGCGGGTCGTGCACCAGCCCATCGGAGAAGAAGATCATGCCCTGTGGGAAGTTGTGCTGGGACAGCCACGACACCACCCGCTGCTTCTGCATGTCCGGCCGCCCCGTGATGTAAAGGATCATGTAGCCCAGGTCCTGCCAGTGCCTGGCAAGAGGGCATCGGAGGGTGTAGCCCTGCCCGGTGCAGGACACCCGCTGCCCAAAGCCTGCCCCGCCCGCTGCTGCCCTCCTGAGAAGCTGGAGGAGCTGCTCCAAGGAGTACAAGGGGGACCCCCCAAACCACACTCCCCATTGAGCTTGTAAGTCATTCACCTCTGCTGGATGACCTGTGGGCACCACATGTCCCCAACCAAGCTAATTTCCCCACCCCTGCCTCCTCTGCTCACATCCTCTTCCCAGCCAAAGACAAGCCACCTTTGATTCCTTCCCACTCCCGGTACCACCTCTCCCTCCTCCTCCAGGGAGCAAGCATTTCAGTTCTCCCAGGCTGCTGCACAAGCCGCCTGGGTGGCCTCTTTCCCTCCACGCCCCCCTCTCCACTCTAATGTGGACCATGCAACCTTGAGCAGGTTACTTAACCCTCCCCACCCCCAAGACTTCAGTTTCCCCATCTGTAAAATGGCAGTAATGATAGTAACAGCCCCTTAATGAGGTTGTCCTAAGGATGAAAAGAATTCATGCCATACATGCCTGGCATGTGTGCTGAATCTATTACTATCAGTTTTATTATTATCCTCAGTACTGTTTCCGTGGTGATCTCGTTACAGCACAAGGCTAACCCTGTTACTCCTTTACCTAAAAGCATTTCCGGTTCCCCAGTGCCCTGAGGTAAAGGCTCCAGGGTTCTCTCTGCACCTGTGGCTAAGCAGCCTGCCCTGCCCTAGCATAAGGGGCCTCCCCAGCTACCCAGAGCGGCTCTGCTGCCCCTGGACAGACTCTGTGCTCCTCTGACTGCAGACTCTTCCCCTAGACAGCCTTCATAGCTCCATCTCCTTCTATTCACATCCTCCATCTTTCAGGGCCTCTTCCTCCAGGAAGGCTTCCCTGCCTCCTAAGTAGAAGCAGCCTCTTTTCTCTGTGCTCTCACGGAAGAGTGGCAAAGTGTTCTCTGCTGACCTGACACAGAATCCTGGCTGCAAGATGTCAGATGAGCCCAGACCCATCTTTGTGACACTAGTCGCCAGAACTGGCTAACAGAGACTGGAGGATGATCTGAGAGATCTGGGGAGTTTCTGCTAAAATGCACAGGCACAGACATCACCCCCAGGGATCTGGCTAGTTCTGAGGTGGGACCCAGAGATCTGTTTATGAAAAGTCTGATGATTAGCAAGGTTTGGGGAGCATCTTAGGTGCCCAGGAGCCCACAGGAAGGAGGTAAGAGCAATATGGATGCCCAGAGAGGAGGACCACAGCCGCTTTCCTTCCCTGGTGGGAGGAGGACACTGATGGGTTTGTTGTAATAGGAATAACAAACCCAGCCTTACAAGGGGAAGGCTGGTCCTGAGATGGCTTGAGCCTGTCCAGGCTTATTCCCATAGAGCCCTATCAGGGCATCTTGAGGGGTCTCCCAGCAGTCCATGAGCCAGGTCAGTCTTCTCCTCCACAAAACCATCACTGTTACTGGGATGAGGCAAGGCAGTCCCCAGCCCCAACCCCAGAGAACTCCCAGTGCCTGGTATCTCTCCAACTCTTGAGGTTCTGATCACTCAGAGTCTTGCATTATCGTTTCTCTGGCCTGTGACCTGATTTCTCTATTGGACTCAGCTTCCTCCGCCTAAGAGCTCTCTCTGCATGAGTGCCCAGCACTGAGCCTGGCACACAGTCAGTCTCAGAGAAGGACAGACGGATGTATGAGTGGAGGGAGGGAAGGAAGAAGGGAGACAGGAAGGAAAGGAGAACAGGAGTGAGGGAGGAAGAAAAAAAGGAAGGAATAACCAGACAAGCTGAGGTCTAGAAAGGGGGAGGGATTTCCCCAAGGACCTCAGTAAATTGCTATTAGAGGTGAAGCCAGGACTCCTCAGCTCCCAACCCCAGAGACCAATAGAATCCCTAGAGGAAATCAGAAAAACAAGGTACTTCCTCCAGGGATGCCAGCCCCTGCTCCCAGGGGAAACATATTCTTTGTGGAAGGTAGAACTCACCGGACAACGTCCACTGCGCCCGGCCGGACCTTGGGGTCGCTTCCCATGATAGACACGCTGGCTGCGAAGGACCCATCAATGCTGAACACAACACACTCCATTCCCCGGGGCAGCACCGTGAGGTAGCTCATGGCATAGGTCTGGTCACCCCTGAAAGGAACCTGCCTGTGGTCAGCTGTGCAGCCAGGGTCAGGTGTCAGCCTGAGGCCAGAGGTCAACCTGTAACTGGAGTCACAGCCCAGGCTACAGCTGGGGTCAGAGAGAATGTGGGTGGCATCTCCTGATGCCACAGCTGGTGAGCTCTCCTGCTTTCCTCTGTCCAGGCAGAGGCAGAGCCCAGAGACACCCCCAAGTGCCTTATCTTCCAGATAGGCCAGGCTGGAAGGGCCATGGGAAAAGGAGAAACTACCATAAAGCTGTCCCCTAGGTCTTACCTGACGACCATCTTCACAGGGTAGACGCCAACCCCCAGGCGCCGGGGCCGCGGCACATTGTATGTGATTCGACCACTGCTGTTGGTGATCTCTGTGTCCAGGTAGACCCAGCGGCCTGAGGACGGCTCTGCCATCACCAGGATGTCCACCTGCAGGCGTGACGGGGACAGAGGGCTCCCTGAAGGCCGAGGGGCTGCGGTCTGGGCAGGGGGCTAGGCTGGGGAACTCTGGGCTGAGGTTCCTGCCTGATGTTCCCTGGCTCCCATCACCCTCCCTCCCTCTCTCCACTCAGCCATGCTGGCCTCTCATTCCTCCCCAGCTGCGCTGAGTTCATGCCTTCCTTCTTGCTTGTCCTTCCCACCTGCCCGGCCTGGGCAAGTGGTTCCCTGTTCTGTGCTCTCATTCCAGGCAGCTCAGCCTTCCTGGAACCCTCACCCTGCATGCCATGAGGTCCCTGGTACAGGTGGACCGGCTGAGGAGGGGATGCCCAGCCCTGGGTACCTTCTCTCCAGTCAGAGCCACCATGTCGAGAGGTCCATACATGAACCGCCCCACCAGGACCTGGGGCCCATCTTCAGCAGCAATCACATCATTGGCCCGGTGGTTAGCAGTGACATTCTGGAAGGACAAAAAGAGGCCAGCTCAGCCCTTGCAAGGGAGACTGAACCCTGCTTTATCACGGAAGTGTTCTTAGGAATGGCTGGAGAGACGTGGGCCTCCTGAACCATGTCTTCCAGTTAACTTCTGTTCCAATTTCAGAAATGTGTTCCCTCAAGTCCTGTGAGAAACAGACTGTGAGCCCGTAACGTCTCCAAGATACCCTGAGCTTCCTGCAGATGGGCTTTCGACTCTCCCTTACGACTCTGAGAGGATAGCCAGCCTCACAGCCTGTTCTCCTCTCCTATCCTTCTAGGCTGGAAACCACCCGGTCGCTGTTGGTTCTTTCTTCTACATCATGGCTCCTATCCACCAGCCATTTACCATCTGTCTTTTTTTTTTGGATGAAAATTTCCAAATGTGTATGAGAGAATGGTGTAACACAGCCCCATGTTCCCAGCACCAGTTCTACCGCTTAGAGACTAACTCGCAGCCATCCTGGTTTCTTTCTTCCCTTGCCCAATCCTCCAGCCCCAGCTTCACTCGGATTATTTTGGAGCGATTCTGGACATCCTATCATTAGACCTGCAACTGTATCAACACCCCCTTCTTCTCTTCTGGTTTCAGTTCATTCTGCAGCTCCAAGGCCTGTGTTGGTCCCATCTACTCACCACTCCCAGCCTGGCCTTTGGGATCCGAGCCTCTCCATCTGCTGACCCTTCCTTTATCATATTGGCCACATCCTTCTCTCTCCCACAACCACATTACCTCTCGCCTGGACTCTGCTAGCAGCTTCCTCATGGAGCTTCTTACTCAAAAACAGTTTCCGCGACAGATCTTCCATCTTCACCAAGCACAGATCTGTTCACACCCTTCAGGGTTCCCCAGTGCCCTCTGGGTAAGGTCCAGATCCTGACCTCACCATCCCAAGCCTTGCCTGAATTACCTCTTCAGTCCTGTCTCCCTCTGCTCCCTGTCCACACCTTCTGGTCCCTTCCTCCAGGCTCTGCAGAGGCCTCTAGGCTCACACTGCTCCCAACCCACTCTGGGTGCCACCCCTGGTCCCACACTCTAGCCCAGCCTCTAAGACAAGAATTAACTCCATTTCCTCCAAGAAGTACATCTCCCCAAAGACGTGGTCTCCACTTCCTCTTACCTCCCACACACAGAGGAACACTAAAGAGGGAAGAGCTGATTCATGGAAATAAGCATCTGAAAAGATGCTTGACATCACTAGTTATCAGGGAAATGCAATTCAAAACCCCGTGAGGGGTGGGCCCTGTGGTTTGCCATATAGTCCCAGCACTTTAAGAGGCCAAGGTGGGAGAATTGCTTGAGCCCATAAATTAAAGACCAGCCTAGGCAACATAGTGAGACCTCATCTCTACAAAATAAAAAATAAAAAATATTCTGGCATGGTGGTGTGCACCTATAGCTCCAGCTACTTGGAAGGCTGAGATAGAAGGATCGATTGAGGCCAGGAAGTCTAGGCTGCAGTGAGCCAGAATAGTGCCACTGCCCTCCAGCCTGGACCACAGAGTGAAACCCTGATTTAAAAAACAAACAAACAAAAACAAGCAGACAAACAAAAAACAATGAGATACTCTGTCACATTCATCACACCCACATGCCCTCTGGGATGACTAGAATCAAAGAGAAGATAATAACGGGTATAGTTGAAGATACAGAGAAATCACAACTCTCATTCACTTCTAATGGGAATGTAAGGTGACACAGACACTGTGGAAAACAGTCTGGCAGTTCCTCAAATGATTAAGCATAGTTACCATTTGATCCAGCAATTTCACTCCTAGGTATATATCCAAAAGAAATAAAAACGTATATCCACACAAAAACTTACACACATTTGTATAACAGTGTTATTCATAATAGCTAAAAGGTGAAAAACAGCCTGTAATTCCAGCTCTTTGGGAGACAGAGGCAAGAGCATTGCCTGAGCCCAGGGGTTCGAGACCAACCTGGGTAACTTGGCGAGACTTTGTCTCTACAATAAATCAAAAAACTAGCTGGGTGTGGTGGCGCGCACCTGTAGTTCCAACTACTTGGAAGGTTGACCTGGAAGGATCACCTGAACCCAACATGTCGAGGCTGCGGTGGCTGTGACTGTGCCACTGCACTCCAGCCTAGGCAACAGAATGAGATCCCAATCCAGAAAATATAAAAGGTAAAAAACAACCCAGATGTCCATCAATTGGTGAGTAGATGAACAAAACGTGGTATACCAATACAATGGAATATTATCGGCCATTGGCTACAACATGGATGAACCTTGAAAATATTACGCTAAGTGAAAGAAGTTAAACAGAAAAGGTCACATGTTGTATGAGTTCAGCGAAATACACTGTTTTGAATAAGTAAATCTGCAGAGACAGAAAGCAGATTACTGATTCCTTGGGGTGAGGGTGGGTTGGTAGATGATAGCTAAAGGGTATCTTTTTTTGAGGTGATGAAAATATTCTAAAATTGACCATGGTGATGGCTATACACACCTGTGAATATACTGAAATGCATCAAATTATACACATTAGATGTACACATAAACTATATGATGTGTGAATTATATTTCAATAAATATGTTTACAAGAAAGAGTTGATTTGATCAACCTCTACTTTTTAGGACTGTTCTTGGGGTCCAAATCTGATCTTCCCACCAGACTGGAGGTACCCACAATAACAGGGGTGGTGTCCGCATACCCCTATGGTCACTCCCTAGCAGTGTGGCTAAGACAAAGTAGAACCTGATAAAAGTTTGCTGAGTGAATAAATACATGTATGCATCTCAAAGTCCTATTCCTTCCTTAGTACCCAACAGAGAATCCTCTTCTTCAGGGAAGCCCTGACAACCCTTCTTTCCATATTTGTCATTTCACATCAGGCCATACTCAATGGTAAGTCAGACGGAGAGCCCCATGGTTGTGGGCAGGACATTCTGAACCAAGTCCACATCTACAGAAACCTGGCATATAGCAATTGCCCCATAACTGGCATCTACTCACTAGCCCCAAGGTTCCTGAGCAGCCAGGCCATGAGAAACCAATTTAGACAACCACCCTGCTGCAGCACCTGGGTCTGTGTGGGCACTGAGCTCTGAGGGCAAACCAAAGCCCTCCCCCGCCGTGGGGCCACCGCAGTCCCCAGGGCAGTCCCAACCAGTAAGTGGCCCCAGCACGCACGTACCCGCAGCTTGACTTGGGTCCGCTTACGAAGCCACTTCTCGCGGGGGTTAGCAGGGCTCAGTGCCGCAGGGTCCACGCCGGCGCTTTCCTTGATGTTCACACTCTCGTAGCGCATCACCTGGCCAACAGCCCAGCGGGACTCTGATCAACCTTCCTGGGCCTTCTCCCTCCCACCCAGATGGCAGAGGCCTCCAGCTTGAACCCTGCCAGGCCTTCCCCTTCACTCCCCACCTCCTCACCTGGAACCATCAGGAGATTGGGGGGTCCCCAAATACATCTCCCTCCCCACCTGTCCCGACAGACGGGGGCCAGGGTACTGTCTCCCAAATGGCTCTCTTCCTGGGGGCAGCCTCTATCCTCCATCCTGAACTTAGCAGCTACTCTGTCCCTGTCCTTTGCCCTCTTCCAACTCCTCTCCCTTTTTGCAGATGTTACTCTAGCAAGGCTCCCTCAGTACTACATTGCAGCTTATCCACTGATCTTCTGGGTCATTCTCTTTAGCAACCAGATATGCCGAAATAACGACCATCTTTAAAAGACTCTCACAGAGTCTAGACCTCTCCAGGAACTCTCCAGTGACCTGCTCTACCTCACAGGGACACTCCAAGAAGACTTACCCTACTCCGTCTCTACTTCCTGACCCCTGTTCTCCATCCACTCCAATCAGGCTCGTTCTTACTGAAGCCAATCTTGCCAAGGCCCCTATGGTGCCTCCACCTTGCCCATCTCCACAGTCTACTCCCATCAACGCTTGAGGGATGTCCTCTTCTGTCCTCGTCTCTCCCAGGGCAGGAGCTCCAGGATGCATCCCTGACCTTCTCCATCTACAGGAGTGCCCTTGCTTTGGTTTCCACTACGTTTCAAATGTCACTCAAGCCCTCCTAGCTCCCACATTTTCATCTCTCAATGCACATGTTCCCTAAGCTCCAGACCCACCTGGTCACCTTCCCGGCACCTGACAGGACGTGACACTTCCCAGATACCAAGAGGCACTTTCCCTCCAGCCCAGCCCTGTTCTTCCTCAGGCCCAGGAAATGGCACCACCATCTCACTCAAGTGGAAAACAGGACTCATTGGGCTCCCTTGTTTCCTTATGGCCCAGATGTCTGTAGGTGCTGCCGCCATTACTCAAATATCGCCGCTTCTCAGCACGTCCACCACCTGTGTTCTAGTCCAAGCCTTGCTCTAAGCTGGGCTCCCACACTCGGCTCACAAGGGGCCTCATGGTTCCTCTCCTGCCCCCCCAGACAGCAGCCCCAGGGTTTTCATCTAAAAACACAAATCAGTTAAGATTTCTTCCTTGTTCACAACCCCGTAATGGCTTCCCACTGAGCCCACAGACCTTGACCTTGGCCACCAAGGCTGTCTGTGAACTGACCCTGCCCGCTACCCAACCTCAGGTACTGGCCTTCCTGCTACATCTTCTATTTTTGCAGACGAGGACACTGAGATCCAGAGGGGAATGACTTTACAACTCCAGTCTCCAAGTGGAAACACTGGAACATTCTCCTATATAGCTTATATTTAGTTTTGTAGAAAGTACCACACCATCAGTTGACAAGCCAATGCTCCTTACAAACCCATTCCCTGATCACATCGTCACCCACTTGTTGAAGCATTCCAATTCTCTCTTCCCAGTGTTCAACATGGCCTGCAAGACAATTCTCTCCCTGAATAGAGAAGGGCGGCCTCCTACTGGGGTGCCACGGGCAGTACCTGTCTCAGGATGAAGGCAACCACGTCGGTGGACTCCCAGTAGCTGGCGTGGAAGAGGTGGGGCAGGGCCACAGTAGGGAAGGCTGTGAGGACATCAGGGCAGTACAGGGCGTAGTCAATCCGCTTGGCACCCCACCACTTGGCCGTGACTGTGGGTCCAAGAGGGAGGTGAGGATGTGCAGCCTACCCAGGGCCTTGACCCCAGGGACAGCCTGGGCTTCCCACTGCTCAGACCCAGCAATGGATGTGTCACTCAGGGCAGGAGTCTGGGACCCGAGCACTCTGCTGTGAGTGCACAACCCCTCCCACCTTCTCACAATCCCCAGCCCTCCTTAAGATGTGTGTTCCACATTGGTCCTGGGAGGGGGGGCCAGACCCACAGAGATGTCCACATCTCCCCCTGGGACTGCCACTCAGTGGTCAGTCCCAGTGGGTTCTGCCTGAGGTCAGGGCTGACTCTGTGCCTAGAGAGGACAGAGGTTGCTCCACGGTCAGAGGTCAGAGCCCTGTTCAGGCAAGTCAGGGCTCTGTTTGAGGTCAAAGCTCAAAAATTCCAGACCAGGGTAGGGGATCAGGGCTCTTTTTTAAGATCAGAGCTCAGTCTTAGGACAGAGTCAGGGGTCAGGGCTCTCTTCAAGATCAGAGCTCAATCTTGGGTCAGTGTTCAGAGCTCTGTCAGGTCAGGGTCAGAGGTCAAGTTTCTCTCCAAGGTCAGAGCTCAGTCTGGGGCTGGCTTGAGAATCTGGACTGAAGCCAGGTCTCTACCAGCAGACTGACAGCTCCCTAAAGGTAAAAATGCCCCCCCAGGATGTTTTACCCAAGGGCCTTCCCACAACAGCCCTCGCAACGGACTGGCAACCACTCAAAGGAAGGTCCCTCGAGTCCAGGCAGGGCCCCAAAAGGACCTCACTCACTGTGGGAGGCACCTGCGGGTGCCAGGCTGTCTGAGGACGCCGAGCTCTCACTGTGGGAGCTGCCCTCGCTCAACCTCCGTCCACGGCGCTGGAACTTCGTGGCCTGAGGGGGCGAGGTGGGGGCGTCCAGCAGCGGTGGGCTGTCCCGGGAGCTGCCCTCCAGAAAGAGGGGGCTGTGGGTGTGCAGGGCATCAGCTGGAGGGGGAATTTCAAGGTCAGGCTGAGCTGCTGGTCTCCGGCGGAGCTGCCCACGAGGCTGTACCAGCCTCGTGCTGGGTGGGAGGCGGGGCACCAGAGAAGCCAGCCCTGGCCATGCCCACTGGCCTGCCCAGGGACCTGTGCCTCTCACCCGACCCCAGGGCCAGAAGGGTCCCCTTCACCATAGTACATTGCTACGTTCAACTCCTCTCAGTCATGAGGTATGCAGGCACGAGCTAGGGCCAGCCCTCACCCCAACCCCAAAAAGCTGCAGAGGGAGCCCCTGGGAGACCTCCCCAAGCACTAGCACTAGCTGAGGTGACAGGAGTAATGCAAAGCCACATCCTCTCTTAGTACTCTTCTCTGAGCCTCACAGGAGTGTGGCTGAGCCTGAAAGGGAATGCGGGCTTCAACCTGGGAGCTATGGTGGCCTTTAGGGAGAGGGCAATTCCCCAACTCAAGGGGGCCACATGTGAGGATAGGGAGGGAGGTGTTAGAGCCTGAGCTACCTGTTGAAGCTCCGAATAAGCAGGGCTCTGGAAACAAAGTCTCCATTGCAGAAGGGGGTGGGGAGGGACAGGTTTTGTCCTGAACAGCCATGCACAACACTCCCTATCTCTGGCCCTAACCTCTGGGCAGGCTTAGGCTAAACCTCTTCAAGTGGGGCATGGGGCCAAATTTCTGATTTCCAATCCCCTGGCTATCCATTATGGCCCCCCCCGACAGCACCCCCAGGCCATGCCTGGCCCATTCTACTTGATCCTAGAGGCCATTGGCTCTTCACCAAACTTACCCGCCCTGGCTCCTGCTGTCCCCTCCACCTAGAAAATCTCAATCCTCATCCTGCAACTCTTCTCCCCCTGTCCAGATGCACCCCCCACTGTGTGTGCCCTGGTGAAAAGTTACCTATTCCATGAAACCCACCAGGATGGCATACTACCTACCCAGCCCCTCCAGAGTCCAGCCCAGGCACTCAGGAATAGCATGGAGCATGAATCACTGGACTTGCCAGTGGGTCTGACAGCTGGAGTGTCACACTGGCTCTATCTAAAAAACTTGGCCGGGAGCCTGTTGGGGGCATAGCCTGGGCCTGTGAGCCCCAAGGTGTCTCATTCAGAGCAGGTGCTTGGCCCAGATGGGCTACCCTGAAGACAGAGGAGTCAGCTAACTTCCAGTTCTCCAGAGACCCTGCTCAGGTGAGTCACCCCATGTCTGACGGCTTGGAGAGGCTGGACCAGAGAGGGCAGCACTGAGGTGCCCACTGGTTGGGGCCCAGCCTCCAACTTGGCACTCTCTCTCACACCCTGAGAACCTACCGAGGAGAAGGGACTGTCCATTGCCCAGTGGGAACCTCTGGTAGCGGGGCACACTGACAGGTGGCACCAGGTGGAACTTGGGCTCCAGCAGTGGCTCCAGCCGTGAGGCAGAGGGGTCTGCGCAGTGGAAGAGGCTGTAGACCTGGCTGCAGGCAGGACGCACCTGGAAGCCTGTGGTGAGTGGGAAGGCATAGAGGGAAGCCCCATGCTAGTACCCACTTTTTTGGCCCTAGAAGGCTTCCTGGAGTGCAACTTTGAGTGGCCTACTCCTCTGCTCAAGAACCTCCTATGGCTCCCTGCTGCTGATGGGATCATATGAAGTCCATCCAGGTTCTCTGCTAGATGGCACCTAGTGCTTACGCCTGGTGCCAAATAGCATTCTGCATGTGCCAGGGCTGGTGGAACACTTCCCAAATGGACCAGCAGGTGTCTCCACTGAGACCTCCCTCCCTGTCCCTCTAAGTCAGTAAAACCAGACTTTCAACCTCCAGGGAGCCCTAGGGTTCCTTAGCCACACTGAGGGCAGCCGTGGGGTTCTGCCTCCTCACCTCCATTTCAGCCAGACCCCCTTCCACCTTGTCTGTTCCGTACTGTCGGTTGTCGGTAAGCTTTGGCGAAAAGCATGGATCTGTCCGTACCTGAGTGCACTCCAGCCTTTGACAGTCCTCAGAGTTACTCCTGTCCTCAGAGTCACTGCTGCCACCCCCACCCCCACGCCTGCTGCTGGTGCAAATCGCCTCATGTGTCTATTTTAGAGGAACGGTGGGGGAGTGGGTATTGGGGATCAATGAGATCAGTCCAGCTGCATTGGGACTGCCTGGGTACAGGGCACAGAAGGGGTGGGATGCAATAGGGTGAATATTTACAGCTTGCTTTCCCATAAGTCATGACTTCCAGACAACGGGACCACAAAGCAGCTGGACACGTGAAATTTCTCAGATGCTGCTTCACCTTTGCTCTATCTGGGGAAACTGCTCCCTCACCCCTCCTCTCCTCTCTTTCCCTCTACCCCACCTCTGGAATCTTCCCTGCCCCGTCCCTCCCCTCCCCCGGTTCCCCCCATTTTGAGGTCCTGCCACAGTGACATTTCAGGACCGGCCCATGTCATACCCACCGTCCAGCCCGGGCAGCACCGTCCTCCGCATGGCCAGGACCAGGCCCAGGGGCGAACCGAAGAGGAAGAAGTCGGACACATCGAAGTCAAAGCGGCCCAGGCTGACCTCGGGGAGCTGGGGCCCCCCAGTCGCAGAAAGCTCAGCCTCGTCCTTCAGCACGTTGGAGTGAATGCTGTGAGTGGAGAAAACACAGAGCAGGGATGGTCAGGGAAGGACCCAGAATGTGAGCGTGTTCATGCAGCAGTACATCCTGAAGCCTGTGTATAGAGTGCCCAACCCTCCCTCTCTGGGACAGGGCTTAGAGTCTGCTTGCCAGACACCATCACCATGAGTTGGTGAGAATCTCAGCATCAGTCACCGAGGCCTGGCCAACATTCGGCTAGAGTAAGGATCCACAAACTTTTTCTGCAAAACATCAGACAGTGAATATTTTAGACTTTGTGGGCCACATGGTCTCCATTGCATCTATTTAATTCGACCACTGTAGCATGCAGGCAGCCACAGAAAATATGTAAATATGCATGGCTGTGATCGTATAAAACTTTACTTACAAAAACAGGTTGAGCACCTGAGGGCACCTGAGCATTCTATGCTCTGGCAGGCCTGCCCCCTCATGCTGGGTTTGTGATGGCCACGCTGAGAATTCCTGTACCGTGTACCAGAGAAGCCCAGCCTGGCCAATATATAAACCAGCTGGATGATGTCAGTGCTACCAGGATTATGGCTTTCATCGTAACTCATCTTCCAGGCAACCCACAGACACAGCTGCAAACAGCTTGGACTCCCCCCACCACCCCCAGCCTGCAGATGAGGCAGTGCTTAAAGATAAAAACACAATACACACAGAATTCCAACCATTCCCATCCCAGGCACCCATTGCCCTAAGAAGAGTCAAGTTATGATCAGCCACGTCCCAGAGCAGTGAGCTGAGGAACAGGAGGAAACCCGGGAACCTCCCTGACTCTCCAGCCAGCATTAGGGACAGCTCACAATGAAACACAACAGTGGGATTGTGTGAGGTAGCGATCAATTAACTGAATGCAAATGCAACTAAAATACTCCAAGAAGAGGAGAAAACGTTTTTGAAATAACAATTAGAATGGTGTAGGCAAACACCCCACCCTCTGGGGCCAGGAGCCTGCACACTCCCTCCTTGCAGTGTGAGCATTTCCTGGAGAGGATGATGACTCTGGTGTTTAACAATACATATTTCATGGACAGCGTGGTCCCCAAACACACGCCAACTACTTAATTGCCAACGAAACTGCCATCTGTCCCTACACCAGAGGGAAAAGCTGGCCGTGTCAGACCAGCTACTTAAAAGCCTCCAACTTCTTGTCACTCTCCACATTTGAGGCTTTCCTAAAGGACTTTTCAAGGGTGAACCAGCAATGTTGAGATTTTCACCTTCCGACCCTCACTAGAATGTAGCTGCTTTTCCAAAGGATAATCTGTCAGAAGAACTTCCAATATTAAGAGATTTAAATATGCAGAGCAGCCTTTGACCTTGTAATTCCTCCTCCAGGAATCCATCCAAATGAAATAACCCTAATATATACATTACCGTTCAAACACAAAGATGTTCACTGTAGTGCTATTTATAACGTGAAGAGTGGGAAACAGCCAAAGTACTGTATCACTGGGATTAATTAAACTGATGTCCATTCATTCAATAAAATATTATACTGCCATTGAGGATATTTGCCAAGTATTTTTTAATTATGTAGAGAAAATATCATGATAAAAAGCTTTTTAAAGTTAAACTATATGTAAAGCATGTTAAAAAAATACAGAAAAGAAATACTCTCAGTGTTAACAGTGGTTCCCTAGGGGTGGTGAGATGATATATTTCAAACTGTTGTAATGGCCTCCTGTTCTCATCCCTTGGGTAAGAAAAGAGGAGAGAGGAGAGTTCAGGAGAAAAGGAAGAAGAAAGAGATGTTTCTTCCAGGTTGAGCCTATTTGAGTTTAATACCCATTCATAACCTGAATTAACATGCAGATAATTCATTTAATGAAACTGTGTTGATGAACATCTCTCTTCTAGAAAGTTAAAGGGTGGACAGGTCTGTAGAAGAGCTCACCTGGTCTATAAACAAAATGTGTGGGTTAGAAAGCACTAAAGTTGGGCCAGGGAGAGCAGAATGCAGACCCCAGCTCTCCTATACCTGGCCATGTGATTCAGGAAAGTTCGCACCCTGCTTGGTTCCCTGTTTCCCCATCTGAGAAATGTTAAGAACACACACCTGGGGGTAACTCGCAAAAGATTCTTTTCTTGCTTTCTTTTTTTTTCTTTCTTTCTTTTTTTTTTTTTGTTGGAGTCTCAATCTGTTGCCCAGACTGGAGTGCAGTGGCCGCTCCCGGCCACCACAGCCTCTACCTGCTGGGCTCCGGCGATCCTTCCGCCTCAGCCTTCCGAGTAGCCAGAATTACAGGCGTGTGTTACCACGCCCGGCTGATTTTTTGATTTATTGTAGAGATGAGGTCTCGCTGCCCAGGTGGGTCTCGAACCCACGGGCTCAGGCAATCCACTCACCTCAGCCTCCCAAAGGCGTGGGATTACAGGCTGAGCCACCGAGCCCGGCTGTTTTTTTTTTTTTTTTTTTTTTGACTAGGATCTCACTCTGTTGCCCAGGCTGGAGTGCAGAGGCATAATCATGGTTCACTGCAAGCTCAAACTCCTGGGCTCTGGCAATCCTTCTGTCTCAGTCTCCTTAGAGCAGCAGGGACTACAGTTGTATGCCACCACACCTGGCTAGTGTTTTTACTTTTTTTTTTAGAGACGAGGTCTCACTAGGTTGCCCAGGTTGGTCTCGAACTCCTGGCCTCGAGCCTCCCAAAGTGCTGGCATTACAGGCGTGAGCCACCACACCCAGATTATTTCACCAGATTCTTAAAACCATCCAGTGAAATAGGCTGGACGGCACTATCCTTCTGCAGAAAATGAAGTTGAGGCTCAGAGAGGGGAAACCAATTGTCCCACCCCTCTGCAAGTCAGGGCAGAGCAGGAACAGGGCAGATTCCAGGGTCTCGAGTGGCCTTGACCCCAGCATTTCAATGCTTGTCTGTCTATGGGCCCTATGGATGGGCCTGGGACACATGACTGGTCACAGCTCTCCCAGACGACTCTGAGCCAAGGTCCCCTCTCTCCTGGGTGCTTTGATGGAAAGCAGGCAAGGGACAGGGAGGGGGCTACCTTGAGAGGAAAGCATGATGCTGGGTGATGGCCTCGCAGTCATAGGTGGAGGAGTCGCTCTGTTTCCGTGGCAACGGCCGCTTGGGCTCCTCATCCTCCAGCCCGCTGGAGATGTCAATGTTGCTCTTGCTGAGACGCTTGCTGCTGGCCAGGCTGCAATCTTCCTCCACAATTGGGGTGTCCTTTGGGGCCGAGCAGATGACAGCATGTTGTCACAGGAGACTCTGGGGCCCTGCCTCCTCCCCTGGGCACAATTCAACCCCTTTCTCCTAAGCTGTGAGGGGCTGCATTCTTCCAAATGGCATATGGAAGCCACAACACAACAATGATAGAATTCTAAGCACAGGCTACATCCACAGGGACTGGCAACCCAGTAGGGACACAGGCCGGCTGTCTAGGGAGCCAAAAGCAACGCAGCCCTTTCTGTGCCTCGGTTTCCTGGCCTGTGATCATAACCTCTTGGTACTCTTGTGGGATTATGAGGCAATCCTCTGTAATCCTCTGGATGTCATGATACCACCATGAAGGACTGGCACTACCTTCCCCTGCGGTGACCCCTGCTCCTCTGGAGCTGGGAGAGCTCCCAAGGATGACCCTTCCCCCCAGTCCTGCCACCCAGCCACACCTGGGTGCTGCTGATACTCCCCTTCCGGCTGCTGCTGCCAGGGCTGTCTCCCGAGGGCCCCGCACTGTAGCAGATGGCATCGAAGGCCAGGAGGCCGCCCACGCAGTCCCCGATGAGACACACCTGAAGGAAGCACAGCTGGGACCACAGGCCTGCCCACAGTCACCCCCCTCACCCCACACTCAGTCCCCACAGGAGAAGAAGAAACCCGTCCTGGAAGGCACTGAGAGCCCAGGAAGCAGGCTCAGACTAGGGTCAGGGTTTAGCCTCAGCCCAGATCAGCCGAAGATAGGCACCAGGCTATTGTCGGGGTCAGACTAGGGTTAGGAATCCACATGAGCTCAAAACCGGAACTCAGATTGTTGGCCTCAGTCTTTCTATCTGTAAAATGAGGGCAAACCCAAAGATCTCCAAAGCCGCCTTTAATCTCAGATGCTATGATTCTAGGACAGCCTGATCTTGATCCTTCTGGCAGATCCCAGTCTTTTTCCTAGGCACCAGCTAGGACAGGGGCGGGGAGGGCAGGTTGTCCTACCTGCCCACTGAAACCAATCCCATCAGAGGACTTGAGGAACTCTCCGTAGACCTGGTTGGCTCGCTCGATGACAGCGGCGACAGCATCCTGGTACTGCGGGGAGGAGATGGCCAACAGGGGCAAGGCGGCCAGAGGGACGTGGTCCTGGCTGTTGCTGAGGCAGCCCTCATCGTGGCTGTAGGGATTCAGGCTGCAGACAGGGGGCCCAAGGTAAGCCCAGCCGGGGTCAGGCAGGTGGGCAGCTTTGGGGCTAAGGACCAGGCAAAAGAGACCACGTGCTGGCCAGGAATTGGACTCTTGTCTCCAGGGACTCTTCAGGAGGACCCAGGCAGGAAGCAGGTGAGACAAAGCACAGGCCATGGAGGCAGAGGAAGGACGGAGGAGGACATAAGCCTACATGACTCCCAGGTGTTCTTCCCATGCCAGCCATTGGGGTAGGCCCTAGAGTTCCCTGTGACTACAGTGCTCCCTTGCCCTCTTCTACATGGTCCCAAAGGACACCCAATCACAGAGAGAAAAGTCAGCAGGGCAGCCAGCAAGTGTGGATCAGGGTGGGGACGTATCATCATGGAAGACTTCCTGGAGGAGGTAGGGTTTGAACTAGGCCTCAAGGAAGGCTTTGGAGAAGCTAAGAAAGGAGGCAGGAGGGCATGCCAGGCAAGGGAGTCACGTGTTGGCCACAGCTTGGAGCTGGGCATATAGCTGCATCCGTGATGTTGTGTCCATTACATAGTGGGGAGGAGACCCAGAGCTTTCATCAGCTTTTCAGAAAGCTCTGTGACCCCAGGGAGGGCTAAGAGCCTGGTCCAACAGCATCCCCACTACCAGTGGATTGTCCACACTGTGCAAAGGCCTCCCTCACTTCCCTACCTCCCCACTAGGAAGTCCTTCCCTGTCTGGCTGCTCAGACCCACCTGAGCCCAGCCTCCCAGAAACCTGTCCCTGACCTAGCTCTCACCTATTTTGTCTCTGCATCCTGGGGCATCTGACCTAGATGTACTTTTGGGCTTGGCTGATTGGGAAGGACCACAGGGGGAGGCCAGGAACTCCCCACCCCCTGCCCAGAGCCTGACTTCCCCCATAGGCCAAGCTCAGATTGACCCAGAGCCCAGTGCAGACCCCACTGGGGACTCAACAGAATATGGGGCAGGTGACGGGACTCAGGCACACTCGGCAGGTGGCAGAGTCCTCATGGTGTACAAGGCCACCTCACCAGCCATTCGTCATCTCCAAAGAACACAAATTGGAGGAAACAGGACTCGATTGCAGCCAGAGAGATTTTAATTAGCTGAGAAAGCTCCCTCCCAGCCGTGATTACGGGGTGATTAATGGCCCAGGCGAAGAGCTGCCTGGGGGAGAGGTGAGCTCCCTCCCGCTGTCCCCTCAAATGGCCTGACCATTCGTCTTCTTGGAGATAGGGGTGACCCAGCTCTGGAGGTCAGATGTTCTGGGGCAGGTGGGGGGCGGTCCTGAGATGGATTGTGAACTAGCACAATTAAGTCCCAGACTGTAAGAGTATGAAGGGAACAAGCCTCCATCAATCAGCAGTTCCCAAACCTGCTGCCAAGGAGGAAGCAGTGAGCAGTTGTCAAAGATGCAGATTCCAAAGCTCCTCCCTCTGGAATCAGCCACTCCAGGGGCAAGGCCTGGACATCTTGCAGTTTAACAAGAATCCCACCAGGGATTTGGGCGATTAACCAGGTTGGGGAACTGCTGACCTAATCTTCCTTCCAGCTCTGATTGAGATCTGTCTTGCTGATGTCCCAGAATGCAGATACATCAGTGTCTCTGATTTCTTGCCCATCCACAGGTGAAAAAGTGAGGCCCAGGAAAGGGAAGGGGCTTGCCCATGCCGTCTCCTGACTGGTAGGAAGCTCCAGGGTGGGGGACTTCATCTCTTTCCCACGCTGAGCCCCTGCTCAGAGCCACACATGACTGGCAACCCAAGGTCCCATGCTCCTGGGGGGTTGGGAGTACCCCACACACCCAGCACCCTGCTGGGGACCTCCTCTCATGCTCCCCAATCCCCAGGGGGTGAACACCCTGCCTGAGAGCTGGTCTCTGCAGCAGCCTCAAAGCTTGGCAGAGTTCTGTGAGGGGGTGGGCAGGATAGAGGTGCCAACAGTCTCCTTTTCACCTCTAACTGCATAAAGTTCCCAGCTTCCAGCTGCCAGCCCCAGCAATTTGCCAAGTAATCCACAGGACACAGGCCCTGCAGGCACTGGGGATCTTTTTTGCACCTAAGACTGCTGAGAACCCAGGGTATCCGGCTGGCCCCAGCACCCACCTTCAGCTAGCTCAATGGGGCAGGCACCTGGGAAGCACTGGAGCCCTCAGGCCCCGGGGCAGTGGATGGGATCTCTCCTAGGCCTCAGACCCTGGAGGGCCCCTGGTTGCTCCATTTGTCCCCTGCAGGTACCAGGGCCCACAACGGGCAGGGACATGCCAGTGTCAGCAGTGAGCGAGCTGCCCAGTACTCAGCCGGCCCTGCTGTGCATGCCATCCTTTCCTCCATACTCTCTGCTGGGAGTTCGAGGTCTCCCTCCTCAGCCCACTATCCACCCATAAAGAGAGCCCCTCCTCCCACCAGGAGGATGGGGATCCAAGGCAGGGCTGGCACCCCTGGTCCCTTCTATTTGCCGGGTGCTGTGCTAAGTGCTGCATGTACCCTAGCACACAAGAATTCTCACAGCTCCAGGAGATTATTACTAGGGTTAGCCCCATTTTACAGATGAGGAAACTGAGACAGGTAGAGGTTAACCAAATTCCCCCAGGTCATATCACTGGGATTCAAATCCAGGCTGGCCTGACTGTCCATACACCAAAAGTCACTCCTCCATCACAGCACTGTGATATTATAATGATTGATAGATAGATAGATAACAGGTAGATAGATGCTAGATAAGTGATGATAGATAGATGTTAGATATAAGATAGATTAGATAGCTAGATAGATGTTAGATAGATAGATAGATAGATAGACAGATAGTAGATAGATAGATAGATAGATAGATGAATGTTAGATTGAGAGAGAGAGATAATAGGTAGATAGATATTAGATAGGTGATGATAGATAGATGTAAGATACTAGATGCTAGATTAGCTAGATATAGATGGTTGACAGATAAATGTTAGATAGGTAATACATTAGATAGACTGATAAATATGATAGATAGATAGATAGATAGATAGATAGATAGATAGATAGATAGATAGATAGATAGATAATAGGGTTTTGCCCACTGTTCCTGTTTCATAACTCCCGTAGCCCTTGTTATCATGTCGGGGCACTTTGGGCCTCAGAAAACAGAATCTCCCTTTGACCTTATTCCTGTCCTTCTTATACCTGCTTCTTTCTCACCCAAAGCAGGAATCTTCCCCCTTGCCTTTCTGTCTTGGAGCTAGCCATAAGGAAACTCTCTGACCTACCTTGCCTCATGGCAGGTCCTGCCCTGTGCCCAGGAGAAAGGAATGATACACAGAGAGGCCAAGAAGAATCTAAACGGGCCTTGCTGGGTTTCACCACTCTGACTGTTACTGTTAGATCACACCCTTTTTTGTCCAATCACATTTCTATATGGCTGTCAATCTGCCCATCCAATGATGTACTCATAAAGGGCCCAAAAGGACAGGGTGTGGAGAGCTTCCAAATGTCTGAATACATGGAGGTTCCTGGAGAGTGGCACCCAAGGAAGGCATAGAAGCTCTGAGCTCCTTCCCCCATACCTCACCCTATGCTTCTCTTTGTCTGTTTCCTTTGTGTAATAAACCAGAAAATGGGATTAAGTTTTTCCCTGAGTTCTGCGAGCTGCTCTAGCAAATTAACTTAACCCAGGGACAGGGTTGTGAGAGCTCCAACTTGAAGTCCTCAGTCAGAAGCACAGATAAAACAACCTGGGGCTCACGATTGGTATCAAGAATGGGAGGCAGTCTTACAGGACTAAGCCTTCACCCTGTGGGATCTGAGGATATCTACAGGTATAAACTGAAAGACACCCAGCTGGTGTCTGCTGCAGAATTGATTGCTTGCTAGTTGGTGGGGAGAAATCCCAAAAGACATTTGGGCCCAAAAGTCTTCTGTGTTGACTGTGCAGTGTGAGAGCAGAGGAAAAACATCGTTTCTGTTTTTTCCTCTCAAGCACTTATCCCTACTAGGCTGCCATTGTGGCCGGGTTTGACTCCTGTCTCCATTGGCTGGGCAACACTGGGTAAGTTGCTTAACCTCTCGACACCTCAGTTTCCCTATCTGGACCAACTAGATCAGGCCTACTGAGAGCAGGAAGTAGATTCGAGCTACCATGGGGACCTCAGCACCACCCAGGCCCAGGCAGAGGACTCTTCCTAAGCACTTTCCACAAGCAATGCTTGTGTTCAGCCAGCATCCAATATCTCAGAAAGACCTGGCAGGTCCCCACCTGCCCACAAGGTAACCACATGGCAGGGCAGCTCCTCCCCACAGCTCCCCAATCCCAAACCAGTCCAAACAAGCAGAAATGCACTCACTGAGAGACAAGCGAGAAAGCCTCAGAGCAGATGGCAGGACAGGGGACGAACTTGATGAGGATGTGGCCCAAGGCGGCTGGGAAGTGGGCTCGCATGACCTTCTCCAGCACAGAGCTGAAGGTGTGGATGTCGGCTGCCTTGCAGGATGGGTCCCCTGCACCCGTGTCCAGGATGTTCCCCCCGTGCAGCACCAGCAGGAGGACATGCGTCTTGCAGGAGCGCTGTGGGCAGCCTTCCTGAGAGGGACATTGGTCGGGATAGAGAGACAGGCATCAGGGGATGGGGGAGGCACACAGGAACACACACACGGGGAAACTGTGGTCAGAGAAACAGGCATGGTGCCCAGGCTCTCCCAGCTCCAAGTGGGGGAGTACTACAGCCCCACTGTAACATTGGTGCATTTAGAGTAAGGATGTACAGGCTGCCAGGAGGGCAAGACCTTCAACAGATATTAGAGCAGGAAGGTTCCCAAGATAGTCTTCTTGTTGATATAAGAACCTGAAGCCCAGAGAAGGACAGGGACCTGCCCGGGGCCATGCAGAAAATCAAATGAAGAGCTGGGGAAAAAAACTAGGCAGCCTGTCTATCATCCCAGAGCTCTTCCACATCCCAGATGTGGACCCAGGCACCCTCAGAAACCCAGCCCACCTCACTGTCTTCATGAATCTCAATGCTTCCCTGGGCTGGGAACTTCTGTCTTCTCAAGGAAACCCGGTATAATTCTCCTGTAGAGGGAAGAGAAGGAAAACTCAGCATCTTCAGACTTCCCCCAGAGCAAGTGGACACTCCCTGGGCCCACATGATGCTTGGACTCCAAAGGTGAGACCTTGGCTTATAGGTGAGCTGGAATTATAGCTTGGAGCTAGGGAGAGTTCCCTATCCAGGTCCTTGAAACCAACAACACACGAAAGGAAGACCAGCAGAGTGAGTCTATCCCAGACACTCTCCCTGAGGCAAGGAGGGCCATCCTAGAAAGAACTACCCCGTTTTCCTTTACCAATAACAACAGCAACAGTGCAAATGTCATCTGGTGACTTCACTTCAGTTATGGATGGTAATTTGGGCCAAACTTCCCTCTGAGAACAACTAGAAGAGCTAGTGTGATGGTTACATGTCAACCTGACTGGGCTAAGGATGCCCAGATAGCTGGCAAACATTATTTCCAGGTGTATCTGTGAGATGTTTCTGGTAGAAGTTAACCTTTGAATCTGTAGACTGAGTAAGGAAGATCTGCCCTAATCAGTGGAGATAGACGGGCATCAAACAACCTGTTGAGGTCCTGAATAAGGCAAAAAGGTAAAGGCAGAGAGACTTTATTCTTTTCCTGAGCTCAGACATCCATCTTCTCCCGCCCTTGTACATTGACATGCTTGGTTCTTGGGCCTTTGGACTTGAACTGGGACTTACGCCATTATCTCCCCAGGTTCTCAGGTCTTTGGGATTGGGCTGGAAATACAGCACCAGCTTTCCTGGGCCTCCCACTGCCAGATGGCAGATTGTGGGACATCTCAGTCTCCATAATCTCATAAGCCAATTTCCCATAATAAATTTCATTTTATATATTTATATCCTATTGGTTTGTTGCTCTGGAGAACCCTTACTAATATAGCTGGATAGATATTTTTCAAGTATCTGATTGAAGCTTTCAGAGAGAGAGCAAGGCCTTGAATTATGGCACCATGGACCAGGGGATGACAGATCCTCAGAGAAGTAAGGCCGGCATTTAGAATGACACTCGACATTACCCATAAGCTTTGGGGGGAAGTCGGCCACTGCCAGAAATCCCTCCTTGCTCCTCTCCACTGCCTGGGCTTAACGCCTCCTCTTCCAGGAAGTGCTTCTTGGCTCCCAGCCCTCCCTGAGTTCTCATTTCTCTAACACGGGAGTTGATAAACCACAGCCATGGATCGAATCTGGCCCACTGCCTGTTTTTGTAAATAAAGTTTTATTGGAACACAGTCAGGCTTATTCATTTACATACGCGGCTCAGACCTTATGGCTGACAGAGCTGAAAATACTTCATATCTGGTCCTTTACAGAAAAGTTGGCCAACTCTTGATCTAACACCTGCACTCCTGGATAGCATGACATTGGACTCACGGTTGGAGAGAGAAATGGACATCTGACAGCCACCCCCACCCTCCACCCAAATGATGCCCACCAACCTGAGCAACCCTTCCTTCCACCTTGGCTTCCCTCCTTTCTCCCCCATGAGATGGGTACTATTTCCTGTGTGTGGCTAAAACCCACAGCTAGACAGAACTACCTGTTTGCCTTCAACGACAAGGACAGCCCTTGCCTTCTTCACATCTCACCCCCACCCCACCAACCATAGTCTGCAGCTCCCCACTCCTGCAGCTTCCCACTTCTGAGCCACATCTGGGGAGGGTCCTTCCCAGTGGCTGTGTGGGCAACCCCAGTCACCCTAGGTCTGAGTCCACAGTTCTTCAATCACCACCAGGGGAGGGTATGTCTGCAAAGAATTCCAAATGAGAAGTTTCGCTCAGCTGGGAAGTGCATTTCTGAAATATTCCATCCTCACAGACACAACCCTGGTCGAAGGGTAACTGCTTTATGAACTCTGAGCTGCTGCCCACCCAGACAGAAAATCATTTCCTATATGATGGAGGGGTTTGGTCCTAGGAGGAGGAGGGAAAACTTGCCCTGGGGCCTGTCTCTGCCCAGCACGTACTAGTGCTCCTTCCAGAGACTTAGGCCCCTCTGCCTAATTCTAATGTACTAAAAACCTTGCCCAGGGCATGGCTAGAGGAGACCCAGGTCCCGACCTCAGGACAGGATGATAATGCAAGATGACAGTAATGGCTTCGTTTTATTAGGTACTTATTCTGTTCCAGGCATTGTATACATTACATGTATCATCCTGTCTAGTTCCCACAATTACTCAGAGTTTGGATTATCTTGTAATTTGCCCCACCTTATAGATGAGCAAGCTGAGGCTCAAACAATCTACGGTGCTTGCCCCAGGCAACTTGAAGATTTAAAGTCCAGGTCTGCTGCTGCTAGACCTCTTTCCACAATGTGAAATAGTGCCAGGAGGGAAGGAGAGTGTCTGAGAGGGAAGTTGAGTATGACTTCCCCGAGACGAAGCACTCCTGTTTCTTGGTATGTGTGGCCTCATGTGCAGCTCAGGGAAAGTGAGCCAGGAGGAACCAGGAGAATGGGCAGGGCTGGGATTATGGGTGTGGAGCCTGGGAGACCCTTCTCCTCTAGGGCTGGGAGGAGCTTGGTTAAAGCCATGGACTTTGGAGCCAGAAGGTTCAACTCTTGGTTTTTACCAGCAATGTAACCTGTGTCTCAGTTTCCTTATTCAGAGGCTGGGGATAATACTAGTAGCTATCTCATAGAGTGGTGGTGAGGAAGAATGAATTCATATAAAGATATCTAAGGCTTAGAACAGGCCATGAGTTCATGTATATAAACAGCTTAGAATAAGGCATGGAACATAGGAAGTGTCACACATGTTAGCTGCTATTGTGATGTTTATTATCCAGGGTGCATCATAGGGCACAGAGCCAGGGCCACAGCTGACAAGATGGGGCTGATGGGGACATTGCCGCCTCCATGCTCGCCTGCCCTGCCACCAAGTCCTTCCTGAGCCCTGGCAGGCTCCCCGGCTTCACTGGGCTGGGTGCCTGGTTGCAGTGTGATTATAGGATTAAATGCTGTGATTGCCACAAATTGCCATGGCAAGGCTATAAATACATTGCAGGGAAGACATGAGGGTCCCGCTGTCTCCTAGGCACCGTGCCCTCTGTTAGGTAGGGGCTGGACCCTGTGCCCTCACCTATTACACAGACCACGGAGTGCCCATATCTCTGATCTGCCTGGAGTCAGCTCCCTTGGGGCCCACGAGATGCTCTGGACATCGAATTGGTGGACAAGAGCTGCATCCAGTCACAAAAGATGCGCAGGCAGTTCCTGGCTCAGTGGGAATGAGCACCACAGGCCAGAGACTGGGTAGTGTTATCCTCAGCATCCCCCAACTCTTCCCTAGCGAGAGGGAAGAGTCTTGTTTCCCACACTGTTGGGGACAGAGCCTTGTTTCCTCTCAATGCACAAAAGCCAGGGATGCTTTGCTTTGAGAGATGGAGGAGGGGAGACCTAGCCTGCCAGATCTAGACCCCAGCCCCTTGAGAGTTGACTAACAGGACCAGAAAGATACATCTCCACTCTTAGCAGAGGCCTCTGCAGGGAAATGGAGGAAGCCTGAGCCTGCCTTGCCTGTACCTTGCCCCCAGGGCACTACACTTCTAAGAGTCAGTCATTCCTACCACAATAATTGAGGCCACAGGCTCTGACTCACCCATAAGACATAACTTTCACTCTTCCTTGTCTTTGTTCATGCTGAGCCCTCCTTGCCCTTCCTCCCTTTGCAGACAAGCAAGCTCCTACTTGTCCTGCAAAACCCTACTCAGTTGCCACTTCCTCTAAAAAGCCTTCTCAGATCTCCCTAGGCAAAGATGGTTGCCCCACAGCATGCTGAGCTGGGCCTGGCTTACTTTTGTGGGGTTACTTGCCTATTTCCCCATCAGACTGTGGACCCCTTGAGGACAGGATTTATCCGCTTTCAGGGCCTAGCATGGCAGTCTTGAAAAAACTGTGGAAGTGAAGATCCCAGGATGCCTGCCATCTATGAGACATTTCTGTGATGTTAAACTCCCAGAAGAAATCAGGTTCAGGGAAGCATCATCCCCCGAGAAGCACATTTCTTGAAAACATTCAGGGGAACTGATATGTGGGAACCTCTGGGAATTCTAGAACAGCCTGCCTGGGCTTTACAATCCCACCTCTAGAGGCTTCCTCAGAATCTCTGGTGACAAGAACTGCAAGGGGTCCCGGGTGGTGGGGAAACACATACAAAGGACCCCAGGACCTCATGATCAGGCTGCCTGTTTCTTCCCACTTCCTGTTCATTTCTGTTTGCATAACCCTATTCAGGTTGGGTCCCTGCAGTGCCAAGATTTAGGGGTGAGTGAGCCCACAGCTGTTTCTGTGACAATGTTTTATGACAGGCTTTGAGGCAGGCCATCTAGCACAGGGCCTGTACCCAGCACCCTGCCAGCATCAGGACCGGTGGCCCACCTAGCCCACCATAGCTACTCCTACCAGCTGAAGAATAAAGCCTATTTTTGCTTAATCATAGCCTTGAAAAGGCACAAATAGTGATCATTTCTTCTAATTACCAATGCGCCACACTGCTCTTGAAACAAAAGACAAGGTTGTCACCCACACATTCGGCACCCTAAGCAAAACACCACCCCACCTTGGCTGAAGCATCTAATCGCCTCTTTCTCTCTTGCTACCAGCTGCTGGGGTCCACAGGGGTGGGTGCTGGGGACCCCTGGCTAAAGCTGAACACTCAGTTTCTCCTTCCAAGCTTGAAAGTCACTTCCACCCCCATTAGTCACCCCTGGCATCAGCTCAGCAGAGCTGGGCCCAGCTTGAGACCATGTGGCATGTTCTGAGAAGTATCCACAAAAGTTTCTAATCCTCTGTGAATGTGTGGAAGTGCATACATGGGCAGAAACAAAATCTTCTGCAAAAACCCAATGGCTTTGCTATTTTTCTCTGGTGTAGGATACAGGAGATTCAGCCATCTGTGGGGGGCTCGGACCACAGCCCTAGTCCCCTGGGTAAGCCCACATGACACACAAATATGGGGAGAAACCCACATGACACACAGACATACTGGAGGAGACAGGCC